CTACATCGTTCGTCATTATTTAAAAATTTAGGGATTTTATTTGATTCCAAACTATTATTCAATGATCATGTATCAGCGATTAAAAATAAAGCTTTATCTGTATTTGGTATGATAAAAAGAAACTGCTCCGATTTTCGTGATCCACTTGCTCTCAAATGCCTTTATACCTCACTAGTCCGTTCTTTATTAGAATACGCTCCAATAATTTGGAATCATAACAATGTAGGACATAATGATCAACTTGATAAAGTTCAAAATAAGGCCCTCAGATTTTTATGTCATACATGTAATATTCAACGAACTCCTCACTCTGGCTACGATAATATTTTAAAACTGTTAAACTTAGATTCTTTAAATGCACGGAGACACTTATCATACAGTACGTTCCTCACCAAATTACTAAATAATGAGATTGATGATTCATTTATATTAAGTCAATTAAATTTCAAAGTTAATAGCCACCACACTCGTAACAATCATTTATTTTATATTCCTCATTCATCTAAAAAGTTTACGTCATATGACCCCATAAATATTTTAATGTCTTCGGGAAATAGTTAATTATTTTATTAAACATTGAATGTATTTTTATTATTATTATTATTATTACTATTATTTGATATATTAATCTTTTCATTTTTTATTATGTTATATTTTATTATTTTAAATTATATAAATTTATAATTTATATAAGTTATATTTTATTGTTATCTATACAAATATATTGTGAATTGGACTTTTGTCCGTATTAATACATAAATAAATAACAAAGACAATAATAATATTTGGTTAGAAAAGATTAAAATTAATGACATAAACACTGAAGTAAAGATTGATACAGGGGCGCAATTAAATGTAATGCCGAATAAGTTTTATAAAAAATTAAAGACAGAAATAAAAAACAGTAAGGTGGTAATCAAAGTGTTTGATGGGACAATAATTAAGTCATTAGGTAAAATACAGGTAGCTGTTGTAGGTCAATCAGCACGAATTATTACCCAATTTTAGGGTATAAGGATTGTAAACGATTGAACTACATTAGTGAGTTAAATGAGATAAAAAAGTTAGCACAGAAAAGTTTATAAAAAAAACATGTAGATGTATTTATAGGTATTGGCTGTTTTCCAGATAAAGTTAAGATAAAGGTAAAACATGGAAGTGTACCAATAATAAATAGTCCCAGACGTTTCCCCATAAAATTAATTGGAAAATTAAAGGAACTTTTAAAAATGTTATGTTCTAAGAAAATAATTGAGAAAAGTAAAGAGCCAAGTGAATGGCAAAACAGTTTAGTAGTAGTTGAAAAACCGGATAAATCACTTAGAATGTGTAGATGAGTTCAGAATTCAATGTGATGCATCACAAAAAGCTATTGGTTGTTGCCTATTTCAGAAAGATTAATCTATGTATTATGCATCTAAATATTAAATATAGCTGGACAGGGGTATGCTCAAATTGAAAAAGAAATTAGCAGTTAAGTTTTCATGCATACATTTCATAGGCTTATTTATGGACAGAAAGTAATTACGGTACAAACGGATCATAAAACGTTGATTCCAATAATGAATAAAGAATTAAACAAAATACTGAATAACAGAATTAAAAGAATGAGGGTAAGCTTGATGACTTATAACTTAAAGGTAGAGTACTGTCCAGGGAAATATTCATATGTAGCTGATTTGCTTAGCAGAAATTATAAACAAAAAATTAAGAAAACAGATGATACCCTTAAAGATATCGTACATATTATGGAGGTTGTTAACTTAAAATTTAAAAATAATAAAGAGAGTGAATTTAAAAAAGCTATATTAGAAGATATTACATTAAAATTAGTAGAACAGTATGTAAGAGAGGGATGGCCTAAACAAATAAATAGTGTAGGAGATATAAGACATTATCATAAAATAAGAAATGAGTTAATGTTGGAAAAAGGTTTAATTTATTATGGATGTCGTTTGGTTGTACCTAGAGTTATGTGTAAGTACATTTTTAAAAAATTACATGAATCACATTTAGGTATAAACAAAACTTTGAAGAAAAGCAAACTAATTTTTTTTTGGCCTGGTATGGCATCAGATATAACAAATGCAATTCGTATATGTGAAACTTGCATAAAATTTAGTATCAAAAAAATTAAAGAACAATTAAAACAGCATGAAAGACCAAGTGTTCCTTTTCATAAAGTAGGTTTAGACATAGCAGAAATATTTGGTAATAATTATCTTATAATAATCGACTATTATTCCAGATGGTTAGAAGTATTAAAATTAAAAGACAAATCAAGCCAGTCATTTATTGAGTTATTAAAAGTTGTGTTTAGTCGGTTTGGAATTCCCAAATAAGTAGTTGCTGATAATAATCCTTGTGGCTCACAAGAGTATATAACATTTGCCACACAGTGGCGATTTGAGGTAATATTGTCTAGCCCATATTATGCAAAAAGTAATGGCTTGGCAGAGAAAGCAGAAGGGATAGCGAAAGAGATGATTACCAAAGCTAGATATGAGAAAAAAGATCTCAATTTATTTTTACTCAATTATAGAAATAGTCCGGTGGCAGGTTTGGAATACTCGCCTGCACAATTGTTAATGGCAAGGGAGCTAAAAACACTTACCAATTTTTTAAATCCAAACATTTTTAAACCAAAATTAGTAAATTGTGTTGGAGAAATGCAAACACAAGAAAATTATCAGAAACATTTCTATGATAAAACTGCAGGGCCCGAGGAAAAACAATTTACAGAAAGTGAAAAAGTTTATATATATGATAAATTTAAAAAATAATGGGATGAAGGAAAGATTTTAAAGAAAAAAAAATGGCCTAGGTCATACTATGTGAAAAATGCAAAAGGGAAAGTATTGAGAAGAAGTAATTGTTATATAAAAAAGAAATTTAAGATTAAGAAGGACAAGTTTATTAATGATGATGTTATGAATATAGGTAAAAAAGAGGATGATGATAGTAAGAGAAATAACGATAAAGATGAAAGTAATGAGAATAAAAGTTCTGGGAGTCAGACGTTAATCACTGGCAATAATAACAGAAAACAACTAGAGGATAGTAAGAAAAAAGAAGTGACAGGGTGTATTAGAACAAGAGCTGGTAGACAAATTAAAAAACCAAATAAACTTAATTTGTAGAATCTTAAGAACTAGTAATTAGTATTTGTATTGTTAAGTTAGTAAGCATCATATTTAAGTATTGTAATTTGTAAGCATATAACATATTGTGTACCTATATTTATTAAGTTTCTAAATATTGTATTCCTAAAGAAGGAGATGTTGTAATGATAAGACTATGATAAGATTATCATAAGATTGTGATAAGTACGAGATATAATATCAGTTATTAAATATGTGTCACATCATCATAAAAGATAATTAAATATAAAACACAATCACAAGAGAGCGGATGAGTGATGATATGAGATTATGAGCAGCGTCCATGATAACGGAGTCACGAGATAAAAAACAGTGTGGCACAAAATACAATAAACATGAAAACATATGTAATAACTTTTGCTGCGAGACAAAATTGTAATACAAAAATTTCAAAACATCGATAATTTCTTCGATGTACCATGACTAAACATCGATGTATTGACCATAAACATCAAAGTTTTTTGCCCACCTCTACCACATATTCGAGCTTTTTAGCTCATGCCCCTTTATCCAAATATTTTCTTGAGACATAATCAGCTACTGACTCGACATACCCACATTGTTATCATATACATACTATTATCACATACCGACATCGTTATTATATACGAGGTGTGGCTATTAAATAACGAGACTTCTCGCCTAGAGGGCGCCCTAGATGGGTAGTGAAAAATACGAGTAATGCGTTGGGTATCTAGATATCTTATCTATGCACGTACTAAAACACGTTTTCGTCACTATTATAGTATTTGTTCAGTAGTGGTTTGAAACGAACGTGATTTTTTCTCGTGCCGAAAACCATATGTGACGAAAAACGTGAGCAATGGATAAACGTAAAATTTTCTCGTTAAACTAAAAAAAATTCCAACTGAGTACTATAAGTTGTTAAAAGAGACCTATAGTGAAGATTTCCTATCTCGGGCGCGTGTTTTTGAGTGGCATAAATTATTTTCTGAAGGTCGAGAGTGCACCGGAATCCAATTCAGTCGTAATCCAAATTCAAAACTGTTTTCTTCGATATCAACGGCATCATGATGACTGAATGGGTTCCAGGGGTCAAACGGTGAACAAACATTACTATTTGACAGTTTTGGCAACATTGCGCGAATCAGTTCGTAAGAAACGGTCGATATTGTGAAAAAACAAGTCATGGATCTTGCACCAGGATAAAGCGTGAAGCGTTATTTGGCCGCTTAAGGCACTCCAGTACTCGAATATTTGTCTTACTCACCCGACTTGGCACCCTGCAACTTATACTTGTTTCCGAAGATAAAGTCTGCCTTAAAAGGAATCCAGTTTGAGTCGATGGAAGAGGTGAAACAAAAATCGGCGGAACTCCTGAATGGTCTTATGAAAACAGACTTCCAGTACTGCCTCGAGCAATGGAAGAAACGAATGAAACGGTGTGTGGTGAGGGGAGGGGAGTATATTGAAGGGGAGCATTTGAATGTAGAATAACTTTTATAATAAAAAACTTTTTCGTAACCAGTATCGTTATTTAATAGCCACACCTCGTACTTATGATTATTGTTTTATAATTATCACCATATTTTTCGTCTATAAGCATTACCCCTCAACCCATTACCTACCGAATATATCTTGTGAGAATATATATGATATAAATTATTATTTTTTCCTAACATTAATATTCTATAGTAACGTTAGTGTACATTATTATATTACTTATAAGGTCAATAGAAATCGTATTTGAAGCTCTCGATTAAAATAATATAAACCATACATTTCATTGGATTTTTAAGTATACTATTTTTCAGTTATTAACAAAGTATATTATAAATGAAGATTTTTATCGATAAGACATTTTATCCATGAGATATGTCGGAATATACCTCTTACCCTTCCACCATAAATGTATACATTTCGTCTCGTAAGAGAGCTAGTAGATGAATATCGGAATCATAATACGTTTGATTATTATTCGCCTTCGCTCGTCCGTGTTTCTCCGTATATTCTACACGACATATTCATCTCGTAAGCAAATATTTTTACGCAATTATTTTTTTTCCTATTCAATTTATGGTACGAAATCGTTAGATTACCTTATAAAATAACTTATCACGTCATTATTAGTCGTATTTGAAGCTTTCGGTGAAAAAATTGGAAATTATTGTTTATATTCGATAAGACGATCGAACTATGATTCATATAAGAACTTGTCTCTTCCTCCACACAAAACTGTAGATATTCTGTTGAAATACGTTATTATCTAATCATTTCCGGTACTATACCCGAAAATGGCCGCCAGAACTTTTTTCCTGATATCCGACCCTATAACCACGCCCAATGTCTTATCCGACGTAATATATCGTAAGTTCTTATCTCATATCACCGCATATGATAGCAAAATTCATATCGGCGACAATAATTCTACAATTTATCAATATTATGCCAGTAGGTATTCTAAAGTGTACCTGTCCGCATCTTGAACCTCATTGACGCCACTTAATTTAGCTTTTTTGTTTAAAATTTTTATTTTATACACGATTTCGTTATTCTCTAATCTTTTCCGGGTACTATACCCGAAAATGGCCGCCAGAAATTTTTTCCTGATATTCGACCCAATAACCACGCCCAAGGTCGCGATCGAACTATGAGTCATATCAGAACTTGACTCATCCCCCGCATAAAATTGTAGATATTCTGTTGATATACGTTATAATCTTATCTTTTCCGGGTACTATACCCGAAAATGGCCGCCAGAAATTTTTTCCTGATATTCGACCCAATAACCACGCCCAAGGTCGCGATCGAACTATNACACACTATGGTATTATTAATTTACCGTTAAACACTCCTACTTCGTTTTCATATACGTTTGATTACTATTCGCCTTGGCTCGTTCGTGTTTCTCCGTATACTCTACACGACATATTCATCTCGTGAGCATATATTTTTACGCAATTATTTTTTTTCCTATTCAATTTATGGTACGAAAGTGTTAGATTACCTTATTAAATAACTTATTACGTCATTTTTAGTCGTATTTGAAGCTTTCAGTGAAAAAATTGAAAATTATTGTTTTTATTCGATAAGACGATCGAACTATGAGTCATATCAGAACTTGTCTCTTCCCCCACACAAAACTGTAGATATTGTGTTGAAATACGTAATTATCTAATCTTTTCCGTGTACTATACCCGAAAATGGCAGCCGGAAATTTTTTCATGATATTCGACCCTATAACCACTTCCAATGTCTTATCCGACGTAATATATTGTAAGTTCTTATCCCATATCACCCCATATGATAGCAAAATTCATATCAGCGACAACAATTCTACAATTTATTAATATTATGCCAGTAGGTATTCGAAAGTGTACCTGTCCGCATCTCGAACCTCATTAACGCCACTTTATTTTGCTATTTTCGTTTAAAAGTGTTTATTTTATTCACGAACTCGTTATCGTTCCATATTTCATACGCTCTTTTCGATTAAATTATTTTTCGAGTCATTATCAGATACTTATTCGACAAACACACTATGGTATTATTAATTTACTGTTAAACACTCCTACATCGTGTTCATATACGTTTGATTATTATTCGCCTTCGCTCGTTCGTGTTTCTCCGTATATTCTACACGACATATTCATCTCATGAGCAAATATTTTTAGGCAATTATTTTTTTTCCTATTCAATTTATGTTACGAAATCGTTAGATTACCTTATAAAATAAATTATTACGTCATTATTAGTCGTTTTTGAAGCATTCGGTGAAAAAATTGGAAATTATTGTTTTTATTCGATAAAACGATCGAACTATGAGTCAAATCAGAACTTGTCTCTTCCCCCACACAAGAGTTAGATATTCTGTTGAAATACGTTATTATCTAATCTTTTCCGGTTACTATACCCGAAAATGGCCACCAGAAATTTTTTCCTGATTTTCGACTTAATAACCACGCCAATGTCGCGATCGAACTATTTGTCGTATCAGAACTTGTCTCTTTTTCCGCACAAAATTGTAGATATTCTGTTGAAATACGTTATTTTCTAACCATTTCCGGGTACTATACTCGAAAATGGCCGCCAGAAATTTTTTCCTGATAATCGACCCTATAACCACGCCCAATGTCGTATCCGACGTCATTTATCGTACTTTCTTCTCCCATATCACCCCATATGATATAGAAATTCATATCGGCGACGATAATTTTACAATTTATCAATATTATGCCAGTAGGTATTCTAAAGTGTACCTGTCCGCATCTTGAACCTCATTGACGCCACTTAATTTAGCTTTTTTGTTTAAAATTTTTATTTTATACACGATTTCGTTATTCTCTAATCTTTTCCGGGTACTATACCCGAAAATGGCCGCCAGAAATTTTTTCCTGATATTCGACCCAATAACCACGCCCAAGGTCGCGAACGAACTATGAGTCATATCAGAACTTGACTCATCCCCCGCATAAAATTGTAGATATTCTGTTGATATACGTTATAATCTTATCTTTTCCGGGTACTATACCCGAAAATGGACGCCAGAAATTTTTTCCTGATATTCGACCCAATAACCACGCCCAAGGTCGCGATCGAACTATGAGTCATATCAGAACTTGACTCATCCCCCGCATAAAATTGTAGATATTCTGTTGATATACGTTATAATCTTATCTTTTCCGGGTACTATACCCGAAAATGGCCGCCAGAAATTTTTTCCTGATATTCGACCCTATAACCACGCCCAATGTCGTATCCGACGTCATTTATCGTACTTTCTTCTCCCATATCACCCCATATGATATAGAAATTCATATCGGCGACGATAATTTTACAATTTATCAATATTATGCCAGTAGGTATTCTAAAGTGTACCTGTCCGCATCTTGAACCTCATTGACGCCACTTAATTTAGCTTTTTTGTTTAAAATTTTTATTTTATACACGATTTCGTTATTCTCTAATCTTTTCCGGGTA